GAATTAGTTGGCACGTTTCGGCCTGTATAACAAAAGCAGCTAGTAACAGAGAAAACGACTTCGAGGTACTTTATTTGTCTTTTAGTAAGAATGTAATAAATTGCTTTTTATACAAATACAACAAATTGGATTTTATGATTTTATGCATGTTTGCTACTGTTCACAGGTGCGCACCTTCGTTCATATTTTAGAAAAGTGTAATCAAGATTGGTTTTCGGTGCTGTCGGTATTAGAGAATCTGTTTCTTGAACTTCCAAAAACCTTGCCAAACATCAAAGAAGTATTTTTGAGAAGCGACAATGCTGGTTGCTATCATAATGCTGCCTTAATCACAAGTATCCATACCATTGCTAAGAAACAAGGCCTGATTCTGAAGAACTACAGTTTCAGTGAGGCAAATAGTGGTAAAGACGTTTGCGACAGAAATATTGCACCACTTAAGGCACATATTAACAGATATTTGAATGAAGGTAACACAACTTTATTCTCTTTTTTTTCAATGTAAATCTATTGCAGGGAATATGGCTGGTGATATTACTTTACTTTAATTAATATATAACTATTTTTACCTACTAGGTCAAGATATCACTTCTGCTGAACATCTGAAAGAAGCTATTGATTCCTATGGAGGGTTGAAAGGATGCCAAGCTGCTATAATTGAGCTAGATACAAATATACAAAGTGCCACGAAACCTTTTAAATTAAAAGGCATTAGCAAGCTTAAACAATTCGAATATAACATTGGTGGAGAAATGACGGTATGGCAGGCGTGGAATATCGGAAAGGGTATGAAAATATCGAAGACTGGCAGTCCTCAAGGTGAGACGGGCGTAATCGTAACGCGGCCATTTCTTGAACCAAAAGTGACGTCTGGCATTTTAAAGAAAATTATAGTGGAACCTTCTTCATGTCCAGCTGCAAAAAATGAGCCAAATGTCCCTGATGTAAAAGACAAAGAACCTGTCAAGTTTTATTGTCCCGAAGAAGTATGTATTAAAGCATATAGCTGCAGTCGCTATCTTAAACAGCACCTTGATATTGGAAAGCATGAATTCAAGCTTCACGAAGAATCACAGTATGATCAAATACGACGGAAATGGGCGCAAAAATGCACTTCTCTAAAACCTCCAAACCCCTCGTGTCCACCAATGGTTAGCTCGGCTTCTACTTCAGAAGAAGTACATGTTCCTGATCTAGTGACCGGCTGGGCATTGAAAAAATCGAAGCAGTGCAACCGATTTCCACTGCACGTGAAGAGCTACCTTGTAGGGCAGTTCCTGATTGGGGAGGACACAGGTAGGAAAGTGACGCCAGCAGAAACATCGACACGAATGCGTTCCATGCGTGATAGTAACGGGAAACGAGTCTTCGATAAAGAAGATTGGCTAACGGTACAGCAGATCACCAGCTATTTTTCAAGACTGGTGGCGATGAAAAAACTTGGTCAGTTGCCACCAGCACCTCTAACTGAAGAAGAAGAGGAAGAAGTCGAAGTTGCCGTGCGTACGACCGAAAGATATAATCTGCGGGAGAGAGTCTTGAGGAAGCTCACTTTGTGACTTCTTTAATCGGTCTAGCTAGAGTGTATTTTGGGAGGACCTTGCGA